CCTTTGATCATTTTAAACTACTCTTTTCATACATTTTTTTTCTAGTTTTAAGGTGTTTCAGAGGTAACTAAAACCAATCTCTGTCTCTCCGTCTTCACTGGACACAGAAATTTATAGGCTATAATTAAGTGCTAAATTATGAAACCTAGACTGAAGGCACCTAATTATTTTAAAGGAGATTTATTTGGAGATCACTTTACAAAGGAGGTCAAATTTCATCTAGCATTTGAAGGAAGGAAGACATTCCATGTGAAAAATAATGGCATAAATGAAAGCTCTGGAAAGGAGTAAGCCTGCATTTTTACCAGTGAGACAATATGGAGAACTGGATAAGATGAGTTATAGTACATAGGAAAATAATAAAAATAACATTTGATAATAAAGTTGGGCCAAATAAGAGAAGTCATTGAAAACCAGGAGTTGTGATATAATACAGTGATAGAGAACCATTAGAAATATTCTAAACTCTGAGCAGTGTTATATAATGAGAGCAGAGTTTAATATTTATATCAACTTTTATGTTCAACCTGTGTTTTCCTTTTAACATAAGTATATCTGTTCTCCTTCTTTCCTATGAATAAAATGAAGAGTGGCTTCATAAAAAACATGGCTGGTATTGTTTTGATCAGATACATCACATTTATTTTAGCACTGAAGTAAAGTCATTTCATAACCTTCTTTTCTTTAGTTTTTATTCTTTATTCATAAAACACACTTTTCATCAGTAATTTTTATTGCTTTTTTCAGTATATATTTCCTGTTTTCTCTATTTTGTTTTTGGAATTACAGTCATCAAAACTAGTAAGTTCTTTTCAATGCAGAAGTTAGTAGAAAGATTTGCTTGTTACATTGTTTTTAAAATATATTTTTAGTTGTAGGTGAACACGATACCTTTATTTTATTTATTTATTTTTACGTGGTGCTGAGGATTGAACTCAGTGCCTCACATGTGCTAGGCAAGTGCTTTTCCACTGAACTACAACTTCAGCCCCTATTAGATTGTTTTTTCCACACCTTACAGTATCACTGTAGCTTTTCCATAATGGAATTATATTTCATGTAAAAGCTATTTACATCCAATCAACTTTTTAAGGAAACTATTTATATCTTGTCTGTTTTCCATATTATAATTCTAAAATGCCAACTCATTATCTTCTGATTAAATATGGTTATTATAAAGTTTATCAAACTCATTTAATATATTTTAGTCTTTCAGGGTAGTAGATATATATCTCCCTCTATTTAATAGCATTAAAAGTTTTGATACATTGGGTAAATTTAAGTCAGAGGAGGAAAAACACATTTTAATACCCTTTTGTTTCCTCTCAAAAGGATATGAGGATAAAGAGAATATATGGGGAGATTGGTAGAATATAGAAAGGGAAATATTAAAGACATTAAGGACAGATAAATCCCTCTTAAAATCAAGGTCCAGAAGAAGTAGAAAAATACAAAACTAAGAAAAGTGTTGAATTTAAATCAACATAAGCAGTTTTTAAGGACAATCTAGAAAGCCAATTGGAAATTGAGCAATTTACATAAAGCAGAGTTGTTTAGGTACATATAGTTGACTAGCATATGGAGATAGATAACATAATTTATAGAAATCTTTTGAGAAGAGTGAGTACAAATTTGATGGAAGAAAATGATTTTGAAATGAAAGGATTTATTTTGAGTATGCAAGCTATCTTCATGACTCTTTCTAGAGTTAAATGGAGGAAAAAATAATAAGAGTGAGAGTAAAAAACAAATATACCGAAAAACAGGTGGACAGTGTGAAAAAGAATGACCTCCTCTTTTAATGTGTGTACTCCACTAGAAGCTTACAGTTTAAAAGTTTAATTTAGAGAAATAACTATCTTTTGCTATCTAACAGTGTGTATTATGGAAGGAACTTCTCTTTAAGCAGATCTGGGATATTCAGAAAATGGCATACAAACAAGATACCAAGAGTGTGTTAGAAAACAATCTGAATTGACAGATCTCATTTTGATAACGATAGTAATAATCTGAAATAAAATTGGCAAATACAAAATTGGATGGTGAAATTATTCATTTATGCATAAGAAAATAAAGGTTGTGAAATGTGTAGAAAGCAAACTACTTTACATGCAGTGAAAATAAGTGCAAAACCTCACAAAAGCATACAATTTGCCAAAGGTAGATAAATTAAGCTTAGAATAGGAAACACTTAAAATGTGATGAAAATTTTTGAGGCATATGAGTTTCTTTTCTTCTGGGACAGCAGATTATACTGAGAAAGGGTAGAACATTTTTTTATAATAGTGTAAAAGGATACAAATGACCAAATTTGTGAAGAGGGTAAAGGCTTTTGATGTCTTAGCTGATCTGAGTTATCCAGATTTTGAGGATTGTGTCTCCATGTACAATTTTAATGTAATGTGGCAAAATAAGAAATGATACAGTTAATGATACTAGAAGAATTAGCCTTCCTTTTTTTTCAAAGAAAAGAGAAGAAATAATAAATAGTAGGAATGAAGCCTTTCATGTTACTCAATTCTAAATGTTATATATTTGTAGGAATATTTAAAAGGCAGGAGAGCTAGCAAATGAGCGAAGAAGGTTTTTTGGTTTTGTTTTAATGGTAGGAAACAACCAACTGGGTATAATCATTGCTTTTGAATAAATGGGGCTTGAATTTTCTCAAAGATTACATTTGCTTTAGAAGAGATTAAAAATTATTTGATGAATGAAAATAAGGGAAGAAGACACACAGTACTTAGTCTCATCTTACTGATATATTGACATCTCCTTTTTGCTAGTACCCAGGGTATATTTCTCCCAAGAAAAATCAAATCTTTTAACTTAACATGAGCTATCAAAATGTTAAAAATACATACGTTTTCTAGCAAACAACTCCATTTCTGAGAATATCTCCAACAAATATACTTTCAGAAGTGTGTGTGTGTGTGTGTGTGTGTGTGTGTGTATTGCAGCATTGCTTACAATTTTAAAAGTTAAGACACAGTACAAGTGTTCAGTCAGAGTAATTTATGAGTAATTTATGGTGTGTCCCCATTATAGAATACTTTGCATCCTCTAAAAAGAAGATTCCAGAGAGGTAGAAGTTTGCCCATATTATCTGCTCAAGTGAATTTTAAAATGCACAGCCATGTATATGGTCTCCCACTTGAGCTTTGCTTTTAATTTTAAACTTATATTTTTTTGTATTTGGTCTTTTAAAAGCATATATTTAAAAATTTTAACCTGAAATTTATTTGAGGGAATTAAAAAAAATCTGCACTCTCTGGAGTCAACCTTTTCTCCCTAAACTCTGGGTGGGTTTCTTTTCTCTCACACTTTTCCTTTACCATCTACACAAATAAGCACCTTGAGCATAGTTCATTTTCTTATTGAGAGAGGTATCACAAATAAATTTCTACTTCCTAGTTAACTTGTCGACAAAGTGCAAGTTCTACCCAGTACCAAGTGATGACTTCTGGATAAAAGTTGGTTTGTTTGTTGAATTCAAAGATGCTAGTCCCTAAACTCTTCCAGCTGAGGGACTTCTTAGTTGCTTAACTGTCATCCCCCCACTGCAATGTACTCATTCAGTACTTCCTGATGCTCATGCATTTGGAAGGTGATTCTTGTAAACTCATTACACTTTAGATTTCATATATGAATCTTAAAAGAGTTACTTTTTACCTTCATGAGAATATTCCCCCCAAATTGATGTTTCTTTTCCAAGATGAGCTATTGTTCTCTTCCTTCTCCTTTTCTGAATAACAGGGTAATAGATAAAGTAGGGGTTGAATCAATATTTTAAAAAATGTGTTCTTAGTATGTTATGCCTTTTGCTTCTTAAATCTGTGACTCATAACTTTATTTAAAGAAAATTTTACTTGTGGTCATTAAAATATGAAGTTGATTCATTAATCCTTTATATTGGTTCTTGATGTTGTATTATATTATTGTATCTCTATCTTCCCAATTTATTAATAATGAAATATTTCTATATTTGAATCTACATACTCAATCTTGCCAAAATCTTCATACTTTTGGCCTCATTATTAAATTGTATGTTGCCTCTTTCTGATGCATTTTGCCAGCCTGCTATAATCTCTTTGACCTTGTTATTTTTAATTGACAAAAGTGTATATATTCACTGTGTACCACATGATGTTGTAAAATATGTATACATTGTAGAATCATACTTTTATGATCTTAAAAGTGTTTCATTCTCCCCAAAGGGGCAAAGGAACAATTGCCTATTTGATATTGGTTGGGATCATAAGTGATATAGGTGAAAGATTCTTCTTATTATCAGAATCCTGTCTCTCTTCCAAACTATGGGTGCTATCATGTTAATTCTCTGCTAAACCTTTAAGCATTTGGGGACAATTAAGAATTATGTTGGGGCTTCCTGGCCTCCTTTTACCAAAGATAATTAAATTTCAAATTGAAAGATAATTGTCAAGCAGCAGCAATGTACCAAGTATTGGAATTTTTATAGCAAAGTCCTTAGTTCTCAAAGAGAGAGAACTATCTGATTGGTAGAAAGTACTCCTATCTTGCATTTAATGCAGATAGTCTCTCCTTTTTCCTCTCAAAAAACAAACCCCAAAATCTTTCATTGAAGTCCTATAATAGGGCTATTAATATATTATTATGGAAATGAGTGTTGTCCAGTCTAATACTCTTACTCTTTGGACAGGAAAACAGAAGACTACATGATTTATTTTTCCAAAACAAGGTAGAATCTCATGTTTGTGTAAAAAATTGAATTTATGTACTTTCCCTATTTGTTCTTAATCTAAATAGCCCTAAAATTTTATCTTTTTCATACAGTGGAATAATATATACATTTCTACTATCAAGAAAGCTGTTTGATTTTTTTTCTTCTTCTCTGGAGTAATTATTCTTTTGGCTCTATTTTCGAAATACATTGTTCCACATGAATATATAAATAGAATTTTAGCCTGGAGCTTTCTAACCCTAACCATTCATTAGTGGCTCAAGTTATATTCTTGTTACAGGGCTTTGACCAGCTTCGACTTGAAGGATTGCTTTGTGATGTGACCCTGATGCCAGGTGATACAGATGATGCTTTCCCTGTACATAGAGTCATGATGGCATCTGCTAGTGACTACTTCAAGGCTATGTTCACAGGTAGCTTGCCTTTTTAAACTCTGCATCTACATTAAACAATATGGAAAATTGTGTTTAAGTCTTTTTATTTCTAATTTGAAATTCAGTTATTTATTCAGTTATTACTTTCAAAGGGAATAATCATCACCAGTATGTGTGATCGTGAGTGGTGCTATACAGCTGTGCATGAAAGTACAGCATGTATGATTTGGGTGATCCACTTTTTCATACATCCATCTTTGTTTCACAGCTTTTCCTTTTCATATCTGAATGGGTCATTAGAGCCTCTATGTCTGACTAATATAATCTTTGATCCATCAAAAGATAGGAAGTGATAGGAGAACATTTTAGAAGTACTTGCATCATATATTACCTCCATTAGTATAGAGATGAGCTTCTTTAAGCACTCTCTTTTAATTGTAAAATGTGCAAAAGCCTGATTCTGGTATGAATGCTTATACAGAAAAGACTTTTCCTTGATTGTATTGCATCTAATTAGCAGCAGAAGTGAGTTTGACCTTAATTATCCACCTTCATTTAATTGAATGTCTTTTTTATATTTAAGGAGGAATGAAAGAACAAGATTTAATGTGCATTAAGCTTCATGGTGTGAGCAAAGTTGGTCTAAGGAAAATTATTGATTTCATTTATACTGCAAAGCTTTCTCTTAATATGGACAACCTTCAAGACACACTGGAAGCTGCCAGCTTTCTACAAATTCTGCCAGTTTTGGACTTCTGTAAAGTATTTCTCATATCTGGGGTAAGATATTTTCAGACGTTTTTTGGTAGATTCCAGTTGTAGCCTGTTTAGAGTGTAGATATGTGCAATTTGCCAATAGAATGGTGTCACATAGTATGTGGTCTAGAAACAAGATTAGATTAAAACAACTACATTTTTACTAAACAGTATCATTTAACAAAACTTTCAGTGTAATCAAATGACATGGAATACTAAGTGTTCAATAAAGATATATACCTTAGCCTGTTTGATAATGTTACATACCTTAATTTGGTTCTATTCATCTTAATGATTTTGCACAATAGTCTTTAATGGAATCCTATGGAAATGTAATCTGAGCTACTAGAAGTCTGTTAAAATATTTTTGGCAGTTTTTTCCCTTCTTTTAGTATAGGAGTTAAGATCTAGACCTAAATTTATGTGCAGACTGTAAAGATACAAGTCTTGGTCTCTTAGGAACGTATTAACTACTGAATAGTGTTTAGCTTTTTTAATGACCAATCAGTGGAGTACTTAGCAGTCACCCAGTTTCTCAAGATAGTGTTTTATTTTAGTTGAGATCCTTAAATTTGATTTTGTGAAACTAAATGCCTGGGCTATGCAGAAATATTGCCAAGGTTCCAGAACACCTACAGCTAGCTTTTATGATTAAGAATTATAGCAGTAGTCATTTTTATATATTTTCTGAATTATTTATTTATGGATAGCATGCTTTTTAAAATTGGTTTTAACTAATATAAATTTTAATATTGGTGAATGATTGCCATTTGGCTTTTAAAAACTCAACACTTTTGAACATGCAATCTTCTTTAAAACACTAAGTTTCAAGAGAGCATGTGCTTAATTATTTTATTGATCAGACAGTCCTTCTCCATCAATTGATGAAGAGATATAGTGGTATATACAGACACAATGTAATATTATTCAACCTTTAAAAAGAATGAAATTCTATCATGGATGAGCCTGGAGGACATTGTGTTAGGTGAAATAAGCTAAGCACAGAAAGACTAGTAACATCTGTTTTCACTCATGTGGAAGCTAGAAAAGTTTACCTCATACAAGAGTAGAATAGGCAGAATGAGATCCTAACTAGAATAAGATATATTCCATGCTTATATAATTATATCAAAATGGATTCTTCTGTCATGTATAATTAAAAATATACAATAAAAAAGAGTAGAATAGATTTTGCTAGAGGTCCAGAAGGATAGGGATGTGGGAGGTGTGATATAGGGAGAGGTTGGTTAATGGGTACAAAAATAAGGTCAGATAGGAAGAATAAGTTTAGTGGTCTATTATACAATAGGGTGACTATAATTAGCCATATATTTTAGATTTCAAAACTGCTATCAGAAAATTGTGAATACTCTCACCACAAAGAAATGATAAATGCTTGCGATGATGTATTGTAACTAAATTACCCTGATTTGATCCTTATATAATGTGTGTGTATATCTATCTATCTATCTATCTATCTATCTATCTATCTCTATCTATATATATATAGAGAGAGAGAGAGAGCACTCACATTTTACCCCATACATTTGTACAACTATCATGTAATGTATCAATTAAAAATAAAAGTATTTAAATGTTGGAAAAATTTAAAGACAAGGTACTTATAAAGTCAAACCAATAGCTAATTTAACTACTTTCTTGAAAATATATTTTTTGTATATTTGTTCCCATTTTAGAGTACTCAGAATGCTGTCTCATAATTACCTATAAAATTTTAAACTGATGGCTATTTTAAGGGTTTTATGGCAGCATATTATATTGTAGATGTGTATCATCTTGACTTCCAAGTGGAGTTTGTTAGTCTCCTATGCTATTATTTACAACCATTACTGGGTTTGTGTGCAAAATTTCATTTTAACTTGCTTATTTTACTTCTTTTGGATAGCTGAGTCATATGGTGGTTCCATTCAAATTCTTTTGAGGAATCTCTATATGCTTTCCAAAGTGGTTATATTAATTTTCAGTTGACAAATGAGATAAAGAAAATGTTATATCACACATACACAAACACACATACATAATGGAATTTATTCAGTCATAAAGAAGAATGAAATTATGGCATTTGCTGGTAACTGCATAGAACTGGAGAATATCATGCTAAGTGAAATAAACCAGATTCAGAAAATAAAAGGTAAAATTTTAATCTCATATGTAGAAGCTAGATAGAGGGGAAAAGAGAATTATAAAAGGAATCTCATGAAAATAAAAGGGAGACCAATAGATAGAGGAAGAGGATCAAGAAGGAGGGAGAAGGGAGGCATAAGGAAGAACTGGGGAATGAAATCTACAACATTATGCTATGTCCATATATATTCGAATATACTCTAATGAGTCCCATGTGCATATATATAATTATAATGCACTAAAAATAATAATAAAAGGGTGATCAACAGAGTAGAGCAAGCAGATCAGGGGCAGGGAGGAAGGGAGGGAAAAGGAAGGTAATAGGGAATGAGATTGAACAAATTATGTTTATGTATGAATATAGCATAATTAATCATACTACTCTGTATAATTAAACATACCAATAAAATGTTATAAAAATTAAAACAAACACCACAATGAGTTAATTTACAGCCAGAAGAATTTATTTTAATTCTATCATACAAAGTCAATTCCCTTAAAAGCAATAACTAGCTTGTCTCTTGTTTTGTGTCACCTGACATCTATAACAACTTCAAGTTACATTCAACTTTTATTGAATGTATTTTTTAAATGTCTAAATTACAATACTTAATTTGGAAGTAATATCTAAAAGTTCATGCTTATATACTAATTAACATTGTTTTACACTGGTCTTAGGAATACTTGGTTATCCTGAGCCAAACTAGGGGCAGTGCCATGATTTTTTGGAAATAATCATTAACAAGAGTACAGAAGCTTAATACTTAACAACTTCAGATATTGGTTGTGATCATTCCCCTTACCTGAAAGAAGAAGACAAAACTGGATAATATGCTATAGATATTATGCATATGTGAAATATGTCTCATTTATATATGTATATATTACATATAACATTACAAAAACAAACTTTCAGTAGTGCAATTAAATTAGCCATTGGCTGACTTTATAAGTGCTCTCTGTGTATATGTATATAATTTGCACAATTAATGTATTATTGTCAAAATAATAGAAAAGAATTTTGGTATAGAAAACTTTTAAAAGCAGTTATATTTAAAGATGAGAACACAGTAATCCTGTAAGATTGACAAATTTGTAATAATTGGAGGTTCCTTAACCTATTTCATTTTTGTGAACACTTAATATTTATTATTTTAGGGATTATATTCTTGATTCCTAGTATCCTCTGCAGACATCCTAAAACCCATTTCTAATGGAGAAGAGGCTTTTGCCTAGCAAAGCTTGCTTGTGGTGTAGTTTATCCCTGCCTCCTTTAGTTTTAGGACTTTCTTGCCTGTGAATATTTCAGGAGACACCGCTTTACTTAGCATCATTGTAAATTGTCTATCCTTCATCATATTTGCCAAAGATATGACCATATGCTTTTATAGTGGGGATCTTCTCTCTTAGAATCTATGATAATTTTTTTAGAAACTTTAGTAGATTATTAGTTTTAGGAACATGTGAAATTCAACTTTTACTTTATGTATATATATATATATATTTTTCATATATTTATATTTTTTTCATATATTGTGTTTCTTAGTTAGGCATATGTTCAACTTTGCTCTATTTATTTCCCATTTCTTTCTTAGCAATCAAGTTTCCATAGGAAAAACAGTAGCCTTGGGTGTGTATTCTACTTAGGAGAACTGAATGTTTCAAGAGACTGTAAATATTATACAAGGAAGTTTTTTTTTAATTCTCCCATGAGCTAAGTTATTATGGATAATTTAAAAATATAATGGTCTTATATTTTTAAAATTGTATACTGAAATCAGATGTTTTGGAGGAAAAATACTTTATGTTTTTAATGATGTAGTGAGTTTATAGCTCATATAACCAAAACACTACTTGGATTTGAACTTTTAGAAGGAAAAATTTCTTTTTAATACATTTCTATTCTATATCATTCTTTATCATTTGTGTGAATGAAGAAGAGCAGGGTACATAAAATGTAAATTGACAATGCAGAAAGCATTTCATATGATGGTTTTATTATTTTTTTGGGGGGGGGCTTCCACATGAAATATATGATGGTTTTAAATATGATTATAAAGTTACTCTTAGCTTCAGGATAGAAATTTCAGTTATCTGGGGTTGGGGTTATAGCTCAGAGGTAGAGCGCTTGCCTGGTACATGTGAGGCATGGGGTTTGATCCTCAGCACCACATAAAGATAAACAAACAAAGGTGTTATGTCCATCTACAATGAAAAATATTAATAAAGTAAAAAAAGAAATGCCACTTATTGATAACAAAGCATCAGACTCAATAGAGGAACCAGTCCCCTATCTAACTTTGCCATCTATTGCAGTAATAATGTTTCTCTTAGGGTGGTAATTAGTATTATAGTTTATAGAATCTGGCATTTTGTTCTCGCTGTGTTATTTTCTTCATAGTTTTGGAAAAGAGGACTAGGAATTGAATAGAAAAGGATGACAACTAATGGTATAAAGCAGAGTATATAAAAATTTCTGCAAAACTAAAAACACTTTTATATATCAATGGAAAAAAGTGAAAATGACTTTCTTTAGTCATATAACTTTAAAAATTATATTTGTTTTTATCCTTATGACATTGTATAACTACAACATGCTAAATATTTTCCAGTCATTCCCTGATTTACAAAAAGGCTGGAGTTAAGGTTTTTACTTGTCATTTGTGTGGAATTTGGAAATTTTAGCATCTTCTATTTTCATCCTTACTATTTTGGAGGATAGCAGGCTAGCTCACAAAATAAACTCAATTTAATATTTTAACATTAGTTTGCTGATATAGGATTTTGTAATTGAACTAGATATATTACAATTTGAATATACAGAATAAACAAACTGGAATGAAGTTGACAAAGAAACCATTTTCCTTTTATATAAACAC